AATATTTAAAAAAAAAAAAATCTAAAGTCCCTCTTTCCCCCAGACCTCAGTGTCCCTCTATGGTTCTGCTAGGCCTAGCCTGGGCAGAGAAGCATCCCACTTTTCCAGACCCCTGAACACTGAGCTCTAACCAAGGAAACACTGGAGATTCCCAGCTCAGGTGAGAACCTGCCCGAGGAAACCTCCCCACCCCTCCCAGGATTAGCACCCGTCTAGACCCTCTGGTCTTGTGAGCCTTTGGTGGGCTCTGGTTTGAGGATTCCTGCCCACATATGGACTCCAGTCAGGTGCAGTGGATCCCTGACTCTCACAGCTCCCGAAAGCAGAGTTAGGAAGAGGCCTCAGGAGAGCCTTCATCCCCTTTCCTGACCCATCTTTTCTTCCCACCACCCCGCCCCACCCTGCCCCCAGTCAAACTGAGGGCAGCTTTCCCAATTCTTAGTGCCGGACGAAGCGCAGAGATCGGGAGTTGAGCAGGTCTTCAGGGTCAGGGAAGACAGAGTCGAGACGGAAGCCGTGCTCCAGAGCCACTCGCAGCACCTCCTCCAGGAAGCCTGGTGTGCCCACCACCTCCCGTCGCTCTCCTGGCCCCCCAGTCCACAGTGGCTGCAGCCCCAGTCTCCTGTACTCCACTTCGGGGAGTTCTGTGGGGCAGGGGGCCCACTCCAGATGAAAGTGTGGGCCTCCCTCCGCCCTGTCCTCATTGGCTACACCAAATCGGGCCTGCATGGCACCCAGACACTCAGGGTCGGTGCAGAAGAGGTTGGCCCGGAAGGTGTCCACCTGGACAGAGCTCAGCTCATAGTGGTGTGGGCCCCGACGAGCAGAGAAGTGCACCAGGCGGGGGCTGCTATCTACATCTGCGTGGAGCAGGGCGGCTGTGGGTGCTGGGGTCCCGCGAGAGGCCTCCAGTTCCCGCAGGGCATCCAGGAGGGGGCGGATCTGGTAAAAGTCAGCCTCTGCCCTGAGAAGAGCTGTCTCTCCATATCCTCGGGGCAGGTCCAGGCGGCCCAGCCGGAGGAAATTGAGGATGTGCCGGAAGGCCTTGCCATCTCGGTCGATGAAGTAGTGACCGCCTCCCTGGGGGTTGAGGTTGGGGGTCATGGGGGTACCGGCCCTAAACATGGCCCCCAGCATAGAGTCTGGGAATCGAGTCAGGGTCTCCAAAGTGGTGGAATATAGTGTGCCCCCCACATTCAGGGTCACAGGGCCCCCAAAGGAGGGGGGCGAAGAGGGCACAGGAGGAGGGGAAATTTTGAGGAATACTGGAGACACTGAAAGAGAAAAGGTGGAATTTCCTGAGTGTGTGGAATTTGGTCGTAAGGTTCAGTCTGTCGCTGGGCTGGAGGTACAGATTGGAGTACAACAAGATTTAGGGCTCACCCCAGGTACCTTGATGGTGGGGGATGGTTTCTGGGCACAGAAAGACCGGAAAGGTTGAGAGAACGGATGAAAAGAGCAGAGCGAAGCCAGAGAGGGCCGGAGATTTAGGCCCAGACGCATCCGATTCTGGGTGGTCTGCGATTCCTTTCTGTCGTCTTCAAATAGTGGGTTTCCGGAATCCAACCAGCAGGTGACGGTGGCTAGCACAAGGCCGACTCTTTGAAGGGTCTAGCTTCGGAGTTCTCGGGCAGATCGCTGTCGCCGTGGGCGAGTCCACGTAGGGCTCCCGGGGCCAGTCAGAGGCCTGGCCTGGCTCCGGCGCGGGTCCCGGGAGATGGAGGCTGGGCTGACTGGAGCCAATGGCAGAGGTGCCTCGGTATTGGCTAGGGAGCGAAGATGCACGCTCAGTCGGAGCTGGGAGTGTCCGAGGACTCTGATGGGAGCAGCCGGGAGTCTCGGGACCCGGGCGCCGCCGCCTTCACCCGGTGTTGCCGCAGCCGCTCAAGTCCTCTCCGCCCCCAGGAAGTGGCCTAAGGGCAGCGGCTGGGGGCCCTTTAAGAGACAGCCCCGCCCCCAGGGCGCCCCGCCCCCCGCCCCCGCCAGGCGCGCG